CGCTGCTGCTGCTGCTGCTGTTGGGCGAGGTGTGACCTGAAGCCTGCTGCTGCAGCAGCCGGCAGATGATGCAAAAAGGCTTCTTCTCTGTCGAGTCCCCGGGCGCTGCTGCTGCCGCTGCTGCTGCTGCTGCGCCGGCTGCTGAGCCGGAAGCAGCTTCTGCTGCTGACGGCGCAGCAGCTGCGCCTGCTGCAGCTGCAGCGGCTGCTGCTGCAGCCTCACACTCTACTTGCTGCTGCCAGTGTGGCTGGCACACGGAATGGATCCGATCCCAACAGCACTGCACGGGCGGCGGCAGCAGCAGCTGCGCAGCCTCGCATTGTTGCAGCGCCTGAAGCAAGCAGCAGCAGCAGCAGCAGCAGCAGCAGTAGCAGCTGATACGAGAGTCCAGCACCCGCAGCCCTCTCTTGCGGCTAACCATCCACCACAATGTGAACAACCAGGAGAAGCAGCAGCAGCAGCAGCAGCAGCAGCAGCACTCACCTTAGTACAAACGGCAGACAGGCTGAGGGAAAACTCCATAGGGAGACGGCGAATGTTAAGTCCTCCTGTGGTCTCCTCCGTGAGGGCCTCCTTTTCAAGCAGTTCTTTCCTCAGTTCTGCTGCAAACTCTGCTGCTGCTGCTGCTGTTCCATTGGCTGCTGCTGCTTCCTTCCCTCTTGCTGCGTCTGCCGCCACTGCTGCCAACCCCTCGCTTGCTGCAGCAGCTGCTGTGTCCAAGGCCGATGGACACAACGGCTGCTTGTGCCGCGGCCGCAGGTCATCTTGCTGCCGCTGCTGCTGCTGCACCTCGTCCTGCTGTTGCTGCTGCTGCACCTCGTGCGGCTGCTGCTGCTGCACCTCGTGCTGCTGCTGCTGCACCTCGTGCTGCTGCTGCTGCTGCACCTCGTGCTGCTGCTGCTGCTGCACTTCGTGCTCCTGCTGCTGCTGCTGCACCTCGTGCTGCTGCTGCTGCTGCACTTCTTGCTGCTTCGGCGACGTGTCCTCTGTCGAGGGGCCTGCAGCCTCAATGGCCTCCCTGCTGTCGCTGCCAGTTTTGTCTTTGTGGCCTAGAGGGCCCTCCATATCTCGCGGGACAGGAACTGCAGCAGCAGCAGCAGCTGCTTCAAAAGACACAGCGCAATCCACTGCAGCTGCAACCGAAGCGCCAGCATCCTCTGGGGCACCAGCAGCTGCTGCTGCTGCGACGGGCTCAGTTCCAGCTGCTGCAGCAGTTCCAGCTGTTGCTGCTGCAGCTGCTGCGGCGGACTCTGCGGCAAATTCTGCGCCAGCAGCTTCAGCAGTTTCACCTGCGGCAGCTGCTGCTGCAGGTTCAGCGCCAGCTGCCGCAGCAGTTTCAGCAGCAGCTGTTGCAAGTTCAGCGCCAGCTGCCGCAGCATCTCCAGCAGCAGCAGTTGCTGCTGCAGCAGGATCAGAGCCAGCTGAGGCAGCAGTTTCAGCAGCAGCAGTTTCGGCAGCAGCAGTTTCGGTAGCAGTAGTGGCTGCTGAGGGAGGCTCAGCACCAGATGCTGCTGCTGCTGTTGCAGTTTCGTCTGCAGCAGCTGCTGCTGCAGTTGCAGGCTCTGCAGCTCCTTGCTGCGCAACTTCAGCGCTGCAGCCAGGAGTTCTGGCGACGCTTTTGCTGCCAGCAGCAGCTGCCTCTTCTGCTTGTTCTTGCTGCGCCGCGTCAGCAGCAGCAGCAGCAGCTGAATGCGCAGCTTCAGCAGCAGCAGCACGGGGCTCCCCGCATTGCTTGACGCTCTGCGGTTGCCGCTGTTGCTGTTGCTGCTGCTGCTGCTGCTGCTGGGAGTCTACTCTAAGGAGAGACTCCAGCAGCGGCTCCGAGGGCAGCGCAGCAGCAGATCGAATGAGTCTAGAAAGTTCACAAAAGAGAAAAGAATTGTCTCTTTGCCACTCATTGACCCCCAGGCCCACGCTGCTGCTGCTGCTGCTGCCCGTCTCCTCTCCCGCAGCCAAGAGACAAGCAGCAAGAGAAGAGCCCAGGGGGCTCATTGCTGCGTCTCCGCCCTTATCCTCTCCGCCACTTGCTGCTGCTGCTGCTGCTGCGTACTTCACGGGGAAGTGCGGCAGCTTAAACGCGGCCTGCAGCAGCGGCTTCAGGCGCGCCAGCGCATCGCGTGTCAGTGCAGCAGCAGCCACGTCCTGCTGCTCATCGGCCTGCAGAGCGGCAGCAGCAGCAGAAGCTGCTGCTGCTGCTGCTGCCACCGTGTCCTCCCCTTCTAGGGGAGACGACTCCTCAAGACCCCCTTGGTCCTGTCCCGCGGCCCCCACATCGACTCGCCGGGGCCCCGACAGGCCCCGCTGAGGCCCAGCAGCAGCAGCAGCAGCAGCAGCATCCCCAGGCAGGTGCTGCTGCTGCTGCTGCTGCTGACGGCGGCGGCTGTCGTCGTTGTCCACCAAGGTGCACGGCTGCTGCTGCTGCTGCAGCAACTTCACGATGCGACTGAGCAGCTTTGCCCTCTGCTGCCGCAAGGAATCTCCCTGCTGCTGCTGTTGCTGCTGCTGCTGTTGCTGCTGCTGCTGCTGTTGCTGCTGCTGCTGCTGTTGTTGCTGTGGAACATCAGCAGCGCCGCCTTCCTGTTGGCGCTGCTGCGACAGTATTTGCAGCAGCCGTCCTTGCTGCCGCTGCTGCTGCGACAAGAAGTTGACGAGACGCTGCTGCAGAGAGTGCGGAGCCTTTTCTCCGTTTGTTGCTGCGGGAGGCGCAGCAGCAGCAGCAGCAGCAGGCGTTTCTGCCGTCCGAAGCGGCAGCAACATTTGCTGCTGATGCCGCAGCACCTGGATGCAGTCCAAAAGGTGCTGCACAGCTTCGCCCTCACGCTGTAGAAGGGGGCGTTGCTGCTGGTGGAGCTGCTGCTGCTGCTGATGGTGCTGCTGTTGCTGAAGCAGCAACTGCTGCTGCTGCTGCCGCTCATTCGTTTGTTTCATTCGCTCCAGCTGCTGCAAACGTTGCCGCAGCAGCGCCATGGGCTCTTGATGCTGCAGCACCCTGGGGGCCCCACCTGGGGGCTGGTTGCTGCAGCCTGCTGCTGCAGCATCTAGAAAGAGCTGCAGAGCCGGGTCTTCTTCTGCTGCTAGCTGTCGCTGCTGCTGCGTGTGCCGCTGCTGCTGTAGCTGCTGCGGCAGAACTTGCTGCTGCGCAGCGCCGGGAGCAGCAGCAGCCTGCGGCGAGGAGGCCCCAAGCAGCCGGTGAATCTGCAGGAGGGTTTCCCCAGATAAGCTTGGCTTTTGCTGTGGAGTCTGCAGCTGCTGCGGCTGCTGCAGTGGCGTTTGCTGGCGCTGCTGCTGCAGCTGCTGCAGTTGCTGCTGGAGCTGCTGCTGCATTTGCTGCTGCAGGTGTTGTTGGGCGGCGCCCGCATTCTGAAGCATGCCGTGGTGATCTGTCGGCGTCTGCTGCTGCTGCTGGTCCCCAGTCAGCTGCAGCAGGAGCTGCTGCAGCAGCTGCTGCTGCAGCTGCTGCGCCTGAGGCCTGGCAGCCGCATGAGGCTCCTGCAGCGGGCCCGCCGTAGGCTCCCGCGTGTCTGCCTTCAGCTGCTGCTGCTGCTGCTGCTGCTGAGGGTCAGCCTGCGCTCCCGAAATAACGTGCATGTTGCAGCATAATAGTTAGCAGGCAGGGGCTCCCCGCGGCCTCGGCGTGAGGCCCCAGCAGCCCAGCCCATAGCAGGGGGCCCCCCCTGCTGGGCTCGACTAAGAGGCCCCCCGAGATGCTGGGGGCCCCCCGAAAACTAGGGTTTGCTGGGGAAGAGGGCAGCAGGCAGGGTACATGGAAGGCCCTGGAACTGCACACGGCGCGCAGACTGGGGGGATGGCCCAGGAAAAGAAAAGCCCCGGGGAATGAGCAGCAGCAGCGGGAGGGGAAAAGACACGCCTGCGGTGCTTGCGCCGCTCGTTCGCAGCCACCCCCGACCCATGGGGGCCCCACAGACAAAATATTAAGAGAGGCTCTTTTTTTGGAAAGAAGAAGAGGGAGCTGCAGCGGCGGGGGCAGCTGCGGGTCGGCTGCTGCGGCTGCTGCAAACTGAGACAGTGGTGTTGCTGCTGGTGCTGCTCGTTGGGGCCTGGGGGAGCGCGTCGAGTCCCTGCGGCCTTCTCATGATATTCCGTTAGAGTTCCCTTTCAAACAGCAGCCTTTTCTGGTATCACTTTTTTAGGTTTTTGCTCCCCTTTGTGCCGCTGCTGCTACTGTTGCTGCAGCCCAGCACAGAGCAGTTGGTGCAGCCACCCAGCCGCCCCGCGCGGTGGCGAGGGTGTTTATTTGCCCGAACGTATGCTCGTTGAGCTCTCCTGCCTTCCTATGTCGAATAAATACATTTAAGAAGTAACAATAGAGCAAAACAACACTCAAAATGACGGGCTGCCGGCAGAACGCTGGCAGCTGACCGCAACCCCCTGGGTTGACTGCTGCTGCCGTGAGCCCAGGCTGCTCGGGGGACCAGCTCGAAGTTGTTCTTTTCTTAAAAGGCGTTTCAGGCCCTTTTACCTCTTCTTGTGTTTATGAATAGAAAGCGAATAGTTTGGGCTTGGCTTGAGGCTTTTCTGGGGGCGGCCCAACAGTTGCATTCGCCCAATTCCGCCTAGGGTTGTGGCGTTGTGTGTTAATCCAAAGTCTCATGGACTGTCTGGGAGTAACTTCGCAGCGTCCTTTCCAGGCAATTTCCCTCATAGATAAATCGTGTAAATATTTGCAACAAGTCACACAGATTCTCGCCGCAGCGGCAGCTTCTTTCGTAAATGGATACTCTTTTGCATCACCTAAACAACTGCAACCTTTCGGTGAGCCACGAACCTTGACGGAAAGTCTACAAGTGTCCTGCTGCGGCGGCCTCTGTGTGTCGTTAAGCCTGTCGTCTTGTTAATAAATGTTTCCCCGTTGCTGCTCGCTCTTCCGGTCAATTCGCAGGGTTAATGAAGCCCCCTGGCAAATGGTGCTCTGCAGCAGCGTCAGTTCCCACGACGCCCACACAGAGAGAAAGGGAGCCACCAGAGCCAGTCAGAGTTACTTGTCTGAGACTCAGTTTGCTTGTGACGAATTTCCAGGTTGTTCTGTAGGCAAATAAGCTCTATGTGATGGCGCTGCCGTCACCGTTGCTAGACACCGGTGTTCTTGCTGCCCCTGTTTAATACATGGGGCACGGAGAGAAATCTTAAACCTCGTTAAAATCTGTTTTCAAAGCTGCATTTGTATATTACGCATATACTAAAGAAATAACGTAAGGTACAAACGACGCAGGACGGAAATGAACCGGTGACCCTCACACCGTGACGCTGACATGCGCCAGTGCTGTCTCGCGTGGGAACCATCGCATTACTAACACTGAAAGGCTTCAGTTATTCACCCCCTATTTTGTAGTTTGCTTGGACTCCTGAACACGGCAAGCCTGGCTTTTGATACACGCAGGCTAAGTTCTCGTTGGTCAAATTCATGCTGGTGCAGCTTGACACCGCCTCTACGAATCTGTAGGAGCCAGCAACGGCCGCAGTGCGTGTGCATGCCTATTGGAGAAATTCGCTGGTATCTTCTTGATTGTGTTTGGAGTCACTTCTTCTGAAAGCCGTCGCACTGTGCATGCTGGCTGCTTTGGGTTAGCTCAACGTGGCGTGTCACGGCAACGTACGTAAAGCTAAAAGCCTGATGATGCCAGAAGCTTTGCTCTAACAAACGTTGAACTAGCATAGTTAATTTATCGCCTGCAATTTTGATTCAAATTTTCTTCATTGCACCTTTTCCTCCTGAGCCGACGAGAGCAGCTGCACAATACAAGTATTAACAAGGCTGTCACAATGCAGAAGACAGCTTGGATACACGGGTTGTCCAGTGGTGTAGTATTCACAAGCAGCAGAGCTTGGTGTGAGCTGCAGTCACTGCTTAATAAATAGCACAGCTATAACCTAAGGGGACAACTATTACACTAGTTTCCCTCACTCCCAACGAAAAATGCTACGAGCTGCCGATCAGAATGAGCATGTGAAAAGCAGAACTGATCTTTCCTAAGAGCATTGCCAAAATGACTGCACTTAAAAGGACGGACTCCTCGCCCGCGGATGTTTTGGCGTGTGACTTGAGGTCATCTGTCCTTATTTTCGCTTTATTCCCCAAAACGCGATGGAAACTGCCATATAGGCACCGACCATTGCTCTCGAATTCTTTCTGGCAACTGCGTAGGAGTGAGGGACAAAAACTGCAACATCTGGTTTTGCATCATGCCAGAGTACTCTTGAAACTTTCAGTTGTGAGCGGCATTCCTCCCCACGCCTCCGAACCGAAAGAGCGTACTGAGCAAAAATCTCTTACGAAGGAGCAGTACGCTACAGCTGTTCATTATTTACTGCGCCGATTGGAAATTTGTTAAGCTTGAAGACGCAGCAATAAGGCAGCAAGTGCACGAGTTGCGTGCTCCACACTTTCGCAATGCAGACGACTCTCTTCAAGGAGCGAACAACGCTTATTCCTATTACATGCAATTCTAATTACCTAGCCTCTCTTTGGAAGACAGTCTGGCGAATTAAGAGGGCGCATTTCATGTATGCGCAGAGGCCTTGACGGCTCAAATTCCTGCAGAGTCACGTGAGCCGAAATTCAGGACAGGCAAAAGGGTGCGTTGCTTCTGCCGAAGAACCAATGAATTTGTATTATTTCTGCAGCAATACCTCTGTGTAGAGAACTTCACATGTGAAATTAATAATCTTAGGGATTACAGTGCGGCCATCAGGGCTCCCTTGGCTCCAGTGGCGGCATTTGCTCGTGACATAACTCCTGCCAGGTGGCAGAGTCAATGCACACTGACGAAAACATGTACAAAAACTGCGCCAGTCTTTGCCAACCTTATTATAAAGCACTTTCAAACAATCCAAAAGCCTTTTTAGGGTTTAAACTTCCACGAAGTATACTCACGAAGGGATCAGAGGAGCATGACTAAAGGGTAAGAAGACTCAAATGACATTTAGAATCGGGTCTTACAAAAAGAATCGCAGTAGCACCAAAATTAGCTTCCGTGCCTGCTCTATCTAAAACATTGCTCTACCCGAAGTAAGTCACACCGTGGAAATAAGGAATGGCTCTTTCTGCTCTCTTCCCTGCAGGCCTAAAACTAAACAGGTTATGAAGTGCTATTTAACCTACGCCATTACTTCAGGATACCAGCTTTCCTCATTCTGTAATTGCGCAATAAGGCAAAACAGGTCTACTACCACAAATACGCCCTTATTTGCCTTATTGCCCAACAAGAAATGATAAGGATACGCAGCAGCTGAATTTGTAGCTGGCATGTTCAGGCTGAGGGCATTCAAGTGCCCGCCTGTAGGATAAGAACGCAGAATTACTTTGGCTCCTCAAATCAAAATAATCCAAAACTTCGAATCGATGAACGTGGGGAATGAATTGTGTGAGCTTCCTGGAGCCAGAGCTTGAGCCCATCAAGCGCTCTTTGAGAAACCAGGCGAGGTCACTTAGGGAGGAAGAACCAGTTATAGGAAAGCGATTTTGCGGGAGTTTTTCAAAAAATATCAGTGTCCTTGCCCAAATTACTTTTTGAGTGATTAAGACCTTAGGTCACTTCCGGGCAATGCCACCGCCAAGAACAATAAAATAGCACTTGAGGACAGGCAGTGCTTTCTGGAAAGCCTGCTGCTCTACCTTCATAGGGTCTAAAACTACCTAGACTGCAATGTAGTGAAAAAGAATAATTGATGACAGAAAAACGCTGCGCATTTCCTCCCTTGCATTGCGGTCACGACTACGCCAAGGAGGGCCAACAATTTCGTGAAGAAAGGAATCCATTACGAGCCTCAGGTGGCCTTGTTTTCTCATCTAAAATTCACCAGAAACCTTTTTCAAGGAACTAGTGAATGGAACAATGCTCCACTAAAGTTAACCACCAGAGAGTGCGCAAGTCCGGTGGGCTTATCCCTCAGGGCAAGGGTCTCTACTGCTGTCAGAGCATCCACACTCCGATTTGAGGACAAATAGTGCTCAATTATTGCACTGAAATGTGCCACAGGTGGTGGTGACTGCTTTCTCTATTAAGGCAGCTTTCGAGTGCGGCTCAGCACCTCCTCATCGCGTTGTCTCACACACGGCCGCAAACCACGTATCATTTGCCGCATTGGATGTCGTATTCAATACAACCGGAACGGTGGCCACAGAAGGATTATCTTTCCATCAAAATTAGAACAAGTTTCCGTCAAAACTTGTAATTCTCCCTAGCCAGCGGTGTTACATCTAGTGGTGTGTACAGCCCGCCGAAGAAATCCAGGAAATCTGCTTGAGCCTAGTACCGCTATCGCAGAAGAAAATATCAAAAATTTCCTATAGACGCATCCATTTCGCATCCATTCCACAGCGATGGATTGGTTGAATAACAGAGCCTTCAGAAGCTCTTGCAACCACATGCGCACGATACACGGCGCCTGCTAGTTGGTTCCTCGTAAGCGGTGGGCTGAATGGAGCGATATATTGTTTAAATGGAATCAGCGTCTGGTCGCTAGATACTGGCGTGAAAAACGCCATTAGGGCTCAACAAATTCTGCAAACGCAACCCGGCTTTAGCCGTATGGGTTTGAGACAGGAATTACGCTCGATGTAGCGCAAG